TTCTGATTCAATTTCATGTCGTTTCAAGATGGATGTCGCGCATTTAAATCTCCGATTATGATTAGATTTTTATTATAGCCGTAGAGATCGTCGAATATTTTCTCAGGAAATACTTCCTTTGGTGGAGAATAGCATGTGGCTGTTGTATGTTTCTTATTATTTATATAAATATCGAGCGTAATCACATTTAGAGTCTTATCGAATTGTTCCACAACCGTGTGTTTTACGTCCTTACGCTGCTAAGGCTACGCCTCCAAACGCGTTCGTTCCCTGTTGAAAATATACTGTATAGCTCGATTTAAGGTCCGATGCTAAGCTATAATTTGTTTCATCATGAGTCCGAATATCGTTTAACGCAAATACAGTCGGGTTTTGGATGTTAACGTAGCGTAGAACACCACAAAAATGTAGCATGAGGCTTCCAACATTGGATAACATTATTCCAAAATGACCGTTAACAGCTGCTCGAACAGTTATATTATGTTTATGTCAGTCACTGAGAAGAGCGGCTGGTGTAGCAGTACTGGACTGGTATTTAGTCGCCTGAATCCATCTTTTCTTTAGCAGTATTCATATCTATTACTTGTTGAATAGGATTCTGTTGATCCTGATCTTGGTGTTGATAGAGATAATCCAGTGGCGAAGTTGTTCTAATGCCAGCTGTTCGTCGTCGCCATTAATATTTGCTTGTTTCAATTTCTGGCAAATCGATGATATTAATCCTGTCAAAACTGTCATTTGTGGTAATACATTTGTTTCTAATTGTTGTTCAATAGCGGAACATTGATTTGTAGTAGTTTCAGATCTCATTTCTAATTGAGTGAGTTTATCTAATACGACTAGTTGAATTGCTTTTTCAATAGAATTTATGATCATATCGCTTTAAAAATCCGAATTTTTCGCTGATGATTTTGCATGTGTTGCTGTCATATTTCTCATCGGAATACGCAGCTAATGTATGTTTATCCATTTCATCGCGTTGATCTAATCGAAAACACTTGGTAAGAACATTCATACGAAAACCCATTTAAATCATATGCTAATTGATCATATTTAATAGAGTACTTTGGGCTAAACAGAGATACTATTTAAAACTTTTGTCGTTTTTTTGCTATTTCTTGGCCGTTTTTTGTCAGAAAACTTGCTATTGAACACGGTGATAGACCGAACATGTTTCTACACATTCATGTACAAATCTTTTGGAAATTTCCGATCAATTTTGAGCCAGATCCAAGGGGCTGTTTTTGAACAAGTATTAAGCGAAAGATGGTCGAGATCTACGGTTTTCGACATTCAAAAGAGCAACCATGAGAGTATGTTTTCATAAGTCAAAAGGTTTCCAAGGTGCCCCGGGACTAGCACCCGATGACTTGGAGTAATCGTGAAACTGCATGAAACATACGTAATCGATCATGTTGAATCTACTGACAATGTTCAATTTTGGAAAAGAACTATAAAGATATGTAAGAAACGAGTTCTACGAAAATTAGAGTTTCCAGATTGTTTTCACCTAATATTAAAAAATTCGTAACTCGCTCACAATAGATTATAATGACTTGAAAACCTCAAAATGTATGATATTCATCGATTTAAAGACAAAGGGAAACTACTGTACGGTATGCCCATACACTGGATAGCCCTTTCACATTGTTCTTCATGATAGACGAAAAAAATGGCAACTATTAGCACGTTATTCTACCTTTTTGTTAGGATAGTGTGCGCATCAAGTCTAATAAAAAAAATATGAGGAATGATGGATATGTTGTTCACCTCGAACGGCCTAAGAATTTCATACTTATACTGGATAAATATACTGGATAGTTTTAACGATTCACTTCAAGAGATTTTGACCACATGAACAATATTTTTACAGTTTTATTTATATTTATTTAAAAAATTTAAAGCTTAAAAAATTCATGCTGGAAAATTTGGTGACCAAAAGTATCTTTATTTGGTTTGGTGATCATTTGTATCCAAATATGCCTGGCGATCAAAAGTACATTTACTCATAAAATATACATATATTTTGTGGGGAGTAAATGTACTTTTGATCACCAAATTTTTCAGCATGAATCTCACATTTTTATTTCTCAACAAAGTGTAATGTACAACGCAAACATATTCATTGAAATTTTAACAAAATGAACAATAAAACTGTGGATATAACTTTCTTGGAACGCCCTTTTGCTTTTCGTTTGCCTAATGGTTGAATACGTGTTTTATCACTAACTTGAAATAAGTTAAATAAAATTGCTAATCCAACAGAATATTTACACGAATATACTAATAGTGGTACAACAAGCCACACCAGAAGACTATTGAATGTATCATTGGCTAGGTATTTATCGTTCTCGTCCGTGGCTTATATTCGATGGTTTTCTGGTGTGGCAACAATCCAGTTGGCTTGTTGTACCATTATTAGTATATTCTGGTAAACATTCTGTTAGGCCGAACGAAACGTTTGCCAACCATTAGCCAAACGAAAAGCAAAAAGGCATCCCAAGAAAGTTAGCACAGCTTTAAATTTTTTAAATAAATATAAATAAAACTGTAAAAATATTGTTCATTTGGTTAAAATCTCAATGAATATGTCTGTGTTGTATATTATACTTTGTTGAGAAATAAAAATGTGAGATGATGCATGCTGAAAAATTTGGTGATGAAAAGTATCTTTTTTTGGTGATTATTTGTATCTAAAGAATTTAGTGATCAAAAAAATTGATACCCTTTTGTGAAACTAATCACATGATGATTAAAACTTAAATCGAAAAAGTGACTTCAGATGTATTATCTGCAGTTGCTCTACTTTTGAATCGTCCATATCTGTACAATCAGAGATAACTGAGAATCAGTGGTTGACTTAAAGCAGAAAGTGTGTCGAGACGAAAGAAAAAGCAGAGTGCCAACTACTCTTCAAGTCTAGAAAGTCGACTGAGTGAAACAGTAAACAGACGAAATTAGAAGATCAAGAAAGTCATAACAGTTTGACTTTTTTTCAAGAATGTACATTGCTATATCAGCTGATTGATTATCGTGTCATATATTCTACTATAGCTTTCATCATATCAAGCACTGTAGTATATATTCACCATGAAGGATATGACGTGAAGATTAATTATCGAAAACGATAGAGGAAAAACGATAGAGTTTTCTAAAAGATATACTCATTTTGTGATACTTATTATAGGATAACTAAAGCAAATATCCGGAACGACCACACTCAGTCGACGTAAGGAAGAACTTTTTATGGTGAAACAAAATAAGCCTCCGACGAGTTTCACTCAATTGGCTTAAGGCTTCTAGTCAAGGATTTGTGAATCGCATATGAACGCTAGTTGTTTTTAACAGTCAAAAGATGAGGTTTCTTGGAAATAATTAATTCTAGCAAGCAAATAAATAAACAAGTTAGGTAAAGACGATCATCGACCGACTGTCGATTAACGGTCTTATCGTCCTGTTTTCTTCTAATTATATAACATAATTCTTATCTATAAAGTACTATCTAATTCAAAAAGCAATAGACATGGTTGTTTTTGGAATAACTATTAAACGAAATGATGATCAAGACCTGTGGTTACTACATTCGACAGAGTAAACTTGAGAGCATGTTTTCATAAGCCAAAATATTTTCAGAATCTAAAATACAAACTTGATTAGAGGATCCAAATAATTGAAAAACGATTCTATGAATATCATACATTTTGAGGTTTTCAAGTCATTATAATCTATTGTGAGCGAGTTACGAATTTTTTAATATTAGGTGAAAACAATCTGGAAACTCTAATTTTCGTAGAACTCGTTTCTTACATATCTTTATAGTTCTTTTCCAAAATTGAACATTGTCAGTAGATTCAACATGATCGATTACGTATGTTTCATGCAATTTCACGATTACTTCAAGTCATCGGGTGCTAGTCCCGGGCCACCTTGGCAAACCTTTTGACTTATGAAAACATACTCTCATGGTTGCTCTTTTGAATGTCGAAAACCGTAGATCTCGATTATCTTTCGTTTAATACTTGTTCGAAAACAGCCACATCTGTTGCGTTTTGTATTCGACGGTAGTCCTTCGGCTTTCTTCTTTAGGAAATGTATAAAGTTTTGAAATTTTTCAGGCAAAACAATTTATCCAAATTAATCTTTGATATTAGTGTTACTAGCGGTTATTAGCAATATGAGTTTCCTAGTTCTTTTTTTAAATAACCGAGATAACTAAAAACGTAAACAGATAAAAAGAATGATGAAGAAAACAAACGTATTATATGCTACGTGGAGAACACAAACAAACATAGAACAAAAGAGAGAGACATGCGCAAATCGTTTAGGCACACGCTGGCAGAAATTCGGCACACACACTAACAAGTATAAAGGACAGGAAAAGTAGCAATTGTATTAGTACAAAAAAACAAATAAAAAACACACATACAAAAAGAAATGTCGGGCAAAGTGATTTGATTAAAACGCGAGAGTTTTGGCAAGCTTGCCTATTGATCCGTGTTCAATTTTAATGTGAAAATTTTTATGTTTTTATGAGATATACATCTTTCATTTTGCATAAGAGCGCGCAAGTTTATACAAGAAAGAACAGGGAAACTGTGACGAACACAGCAAATATTGTGTGAAGCAATAAACCATAATTAATTTTTTTCGGAAAAAAGAGGTGCCATTTTGTTTGGAGTTTTGATTCATCAATTGATTGCTTAACCAAGTATGAGGTACGTGACGAAAAAATAAATATAAAATATATATTAACCACATTTTCTTATATAAGATGCTCTAGGTTTTGATACGTTTTATAACAGAACGTAAACTGTGATATAAACTATAATGTTGTTTTGGAGGAAAATATGACTCAACTGGGAATTGAACCAATGTCCGACATTGGTCTGATTAACAATTGAAACATATTTTTCGTAAAAAACAACATCACAATTTGAGATGTTCTGTCGTTAAAAATAACTGGATATAAAAAAATTGTTTTTTTTCTATTGAAAATTCACCTATAAATCACTTTCGCCGTACAATGCCTAGAAGATAGCAATAATTTTCTTTTCCTTCTTTAGAGTATAGTCAGTTTTTCGTATACTTACCGTTGCAAACGTTTTATAGTCGTAAGCACCAGGTACACTATCGTTTCCTTGATAAGCTTTCATTCTTTGCATACAATACTCAGCTTGAGCTGCCGGCAGTTCATGTTTCAATAGTTCAGCAGTTATATATGGCTAGTAAACGCAAAAATAGACAATTAATATTTGACTGAAAGACTTTATCTGACTTTACAACTTTGCACAAGTAAAAATTTCAGAATGTTCTAGTAAAAACTAATCCTACTACAATTAGTACATACCTTATCTCCGGCCAATGTCTTGAATGCAAGCACTAAATGATCCACATTGTCTTCTTCTGAACATTCTCTTGTCATAAAATCCACAAATGATTCAAATGTGACAAATCCGGTTTGTGATGGATCAACATTATGCATAATTCGTTGAAAGTCGACATCACCTTGTTTATCTTCACGTATATTATATCCACATGCAATTAAACATGAACGAAATTCTTTTGGATCCAATCGTCGTTGTCTACTACGATCAAAGTGTGCAAATGCCCCTCGAAATTCATTCATTTGTTCTTCACTAATTCCCTTCTTTTCAATTGTATATATCTGATTTTTAATTTCATTTATTTGTCTTGTCAGTTGTGTATTCAATTGTTCCCACGCCACCCGTATTGTTTCCATTGTATATGGGGTATGACGATTTTCAAATATCATTTGTTCTTGAATTTCTTGATTATATTTTTCTAATTCTTCTATATGTGGACGATATTGTGATACATTCATTTCCATTGTTTCTAGTTTCTTCTGATGTTGATCTAGAGTGCCATGTACTTGAATTGTTAATTGTTGTAATAGCTCATGTTGACGTTCGATCCATGGACCCACAATATTTGATTTTTGAGCAAACTGAATTCGTAAACGTTCATTTTGTTGTTGTTTGAGATATTCAACTTGTAAATCTTGATCACGTTGTGGAACAAGTGATTGAACTTCATTCCATTTCGATGTAATCTCCTTAAAAAAAGGTAGACTAGGTTCAAATGACAAGTTGTGCATGATTCAAATCATTTTCTATATCGTTGTTAGATATAGCCTTCAGGTTAAGTATGCACCAGTCACACTTCATCAGCAGTTAACTGTAGCCACAAAACTATTATATTCAAAAACTAAAACTGACCTTAATTGTATGGAAAGGTTCTAGCTGCCAAATATCCTTCCAATTATTTTTAAGCGTCTGTACACTGACAAAAAATATGAGAAGCTCGATATTCAATTTTTCGTTGATTTTCCTTCTTTAAATAATTATTTAATCGTCGATGCTCATGTCGAACGATAGAAAGTACTTCTCGCTTTTTTCCGCAGTGCAGCACAAATCTTCTCGTTCAGATAACCTTTCAAACATTTCGTTGCATTATTTAAGGTTCTCACTATAAACGAATATATATTTTCTCCGTTTTGTTGCATGTAGATTTTCCAAACTGGAAAATTGTATACTCAGTGTAAATCATAGTTTTAACTTATTTTAAGCTCAAAATGCTGGAAATTCTCTTTGATTTCTTCTGAAGATGTTTCCCGTCAGTTATAAGCAGTATCAGCTATCAGCTACATGTTACAGTTTCACAGTAAATCGTAACTACCACATATCTACTTCAGTAACATGGGTTAGAAAGATCAGTCACCAATGAAGTTTACACCTTCTGTATTTATTTAACCGTCACGTTCCACTGCGGAAAATGTTCTGTCCAAGGTTTCCGATTCTTCTTAGGGATGGGAGGGACTAAACATTTTGCTTCGCAGAAAGTGGCTGACGAAATAAAGTTTTCGAAATTTTTGGCAGAAAGTTGCTGACGGAAGCACCCCTCTGATCGGGAACTTTGATTCTGCCCAATCTCTTTTTTTCCTCATTAGAAATTTGTTCGAGTGTCCAAAAAATTCTGCTTGCATCACTGGCTCAAGCAGATCGTAGAGTATAAGTTGACAAAATTCTTTTTTTGTTTTCTGGTTAATCAATTATTGTATGGCCCCTCGCATTCCCTTCTGATAAAAAAATAATCGGAATTTCTGATGCTGACAGACGCGTAATTCAATTAGCTTTATATACCTCTGGTTTTATATTACTGTATGGATTAGGTGATAATTCGAGTCCATTATCTTCACATGTTTGACGCGCCGAATCGAGTAAACGTACGATATTTTTATATTCACCATCTGCTTCACCTAATGTTGCTTTAAATTGATTGTGTGCATCAATTAAACCTAGAAAAGGTACAGAACAACAATCAGGAGTGTTGAATATATTTTATGTATGCCTTTTCATGTTTACCGCGTATTTCATCTAATGTATGAATAAAAAACATATCAACTAAATCTTCTCTAGCACCATCTAACCAATTGACATAGGGCGCTGCTTTTTTTGCGTAATCAAGAAATAAGGTATCAATTCTTTCGAGAACACGTTCAGCGTCCTGTAAGAAAATAAATGGAAAAAATTATTGCCACATTAAACATATTATTAAGATAAACGTACTTCGAGTGCAATCCTTCTTTTTTGTGTTAAATCACCTATAATAAATTAAATTATCAATACAGACGATTTTTTCCGACTAGCAAATTCTTTACCAAGTTCATCCCATTCATTGCAAATTTTTTGACAACGTTGATTAACAGCTGCAATGTTATCGTAACCCAGTACATTCAATTCTTGTGCGATGGCTGCTATTGATTCAACTCGATCTTGATTTGAACCAATATCACTTTCAAATGCCAAATGTTTACGTAATAACGCTTTTAAGTCACTCAAAGTACACTTTTTAAAATCCGATGATGTAAGTAGGCCGGTTTTGCCATCGGACCATCCCTCATGTATATTACATTTATGTTGAAATTTTTTAGCCAGATGATCAAGACGCTCTAGCCTAAAGAAGAAAGGAAATAATGCCTTTGAGAATATCTTGTCAATACGCTAGTAACACGTATACCTTCGTAGTTCACGTAATAGCCAATCTTCAAATCCTTTTTCAGCTAATTCTAATCCTTTCCAAGCATCAGTAATATTCTTAAACAGACCAAGAAATAGATTTAGTTTTTTTCTATATTCCGACACACCTTATATTCCCTACCGATAATAATTTTCCATCTGATGGTAAAAATGGTGGTCTGTTGCTCAATCTCAGACGAGTCTGAAGAGTATTAAAGTCAGTTTCTAATTTTGCTTTTTGATATAATTTTGGTGGTTTCTGTTTTGAGCAATAATCTCGAAATTCGCCTAGTTTCATTTGTGTACCATCTAATGTATTATCCGTAATACGATCTAAAATGAATTGAATATGTTTCAATCAATAAGTAATTCGAAATAATCTATCCAAATTTTATACCTTCTAGCCACGGTTTTTTTTGCTTAATCCATTCTAACAGCTATTCATAAAATAAAATACAAAACTAAATTCATACACCTATTAATACTCTAAAATTGATTACTTACATCAGATGCTAATCTTTCATATTCTTCCATCATTTGTTCATTTTCTTGATTGATTCCTAGAACTTTGCATATTCGACTTGCTGCTTGTTCAGCCTAAAGAGTTCGTATTATCAATAATTGTACAAGTCAAATTTTTAAAGCACCATATGAGAACAAATACTTTTGTGCCAATTCTTTGAAAAAAAACCATGTATCACACAAAAACTTCAAGCTTCACACTACAAAGTGCAATGATACGTTTAAATCACATGCAAGAAGGTTGAAACATGAAAAATATTTCAATAGGAAAAACTACACGAATTCATTTTTGATATGATCGATGACTTGTAGAAGAATAATAATTTATATTATACAAAATGAACAGACTCTATCTAGCAAAAAACTTAAACAGTATACACAATATTTTTTGTTAGAAAACGCAGTGCGCCATCAAGAACAAAATCAGAATCGCAGAACTTTCAATAATGCTACAAAATCAGTAGTGATGTAATCAACCTACCTTTTGTGCACCCGAAAATGCATGATAGTACGATGATATGTAAGTCATCACCACTTTTTCGTCTGATTTGATACTGTTATTGATTTCTATAAATACGTAACAAAAAGCGCAAACAGCATAAAAGGTTTGATGGGGGAAATGATACATGCCGGTATGACAAAAAACAACAGTAACAATAGGAGAACACATGATGCATACATATCATTTTGTTTATGAAAAAAAGAAAAAATGTAATAAATAGATTTTTTTAATTTTGAAAATATTCACCGCAAAAAAAAACCCACAAGATTATATCATTCTACTCATTCTACCTTATATACGCCAGCAAAAGCATGATAATATGCTGAGACATATGTCATAACGGATTTTTCATCCGGTCTAACCGTATTCACCATATCTGTAAAAACATATTAGTAAAAATACTTTCTAAATTATCTAAGTCTATCAGATGCATACAAATCAGAAACAACAATCGATCGTTCGAAAATATATTTTTAAAAAAATATAAAACTAATATCTTACCTTCAGCATCTAACATTTTTGGTATATCAAGAAATTTTTCAGCAATATCAAATGCAAGATTTAAATTGGTTAATGGATCATCCTGAAACAAACGACAGTAACAAGATAGAATGAATTTTATATTACGTTTCATTTTAGACAATAACTAATGATTTGTATAGAAAGTTCTAGATATTTTTTATTACTATATTTACTTTCGATAATTTATTGTAATCAAGTAAATCCGGTCGATGTCTATGGATAAGTGCACAAAATGCTAGACCATCTTTAAAACTAGAAATAAAATCGTTTATATAATTAATATTTTAATATGACGACTATATAGAAATATACCTAGTATGAAAATTTTGTACATTAACATTTTTATACGGGGCTGTTTTTCTTTGACACCATAAAAGTAATCCTTCTTTTGCCGACATTTCTAAATAGAAAATAAAACAAACACATCAAATTCAATGGCAAAGATGTTAAAACATAAAATCGATTTTATACAGTTTGATATTGTCATGTTCTTTTTATAAGGCAGAAAAACTAAATATTCAACTGATAAATGGATAATAGAAGCTGTTCTACCTTCAACAGATATGTCTTGTATAGCAAAACGTAAAATAATTGTCCATATCATTCCAAGTGTCATCTTCAAATTTCCATCAACAATTTCTATATAAAAATGAGACATTTCTAAATTGATAGATTAACATATAAAACGTTTACCTTCAGCACCAACCATCAATTTAACACCTTTGCTCATAATAAAATCTAATGCTTTGTTAACATTTGCTATTTTATGAAATCTAAACGTATAAGACTAAATAGTACTGATGAAATTACTACATTATCTTGTCTGTACTAACCTCATTCGTCCACGATCAGGTTTTACTACTTGTTCATTCGATATTACTTCTAATAATAACATTAATTTTAAACCATTTTGAAAATCTTCATCAATACTTTCGATAGATGTTCCAACCTTACGCAAATGTGAATTACACCATGCAGTAAATGTTTTCCTCTATAGAAAGAAAAATTAAATGAAATATTTGATTTTTATAACAAAAAAAAGACGCTACTAATTTACTTGTTGTCGTTCCCAGGCCGGATCAAGTACCGCTTCTCGTTCCCATTCCTCTTCCGGTAGCATATAATCATCCGAATTCGAATTATATTGTTGTTGCTGCTGTTGCTGCTGTTGTTGATATTGTTGTTGATGTTGTTGTTGATGTTGTTGTTGATATTGTTGTTGTTGTTGCGGTTGCTGTTTTATTGAATAACCATTTTGGGTTGAATTCGACGTTTCCATATAATAGCCACTCATTTTTTTGTTGGCGTTCGTAAGTAAAAATCGTGCAGAAAAAAAAAGCAACCGACGAGAAGGTTCGTCAACCAAACACCTTTAATTATTATTATTGTATTTTAAAAAAAAATACTATTTTTACATTTACATACATTGATGCATCTAGAAAGAAATCGTAAGATTAAATTGTTGTCTATCACTCTTAACATCGATATTTAAGTGTCTAGAAGTTTATTGTTAATATTTTTCAAAATTTATATACAATTCTACCAATTCTACATCACTTCTTTTACCTCACAGACTTTAAAAGTACAGTAGTAATTATCCAGAGAAGCTTTTTTTAACGGATCGAGTCTCAGATAAAGGTAGTTGCATACTGTACGTCTCCGTTCAATACTATTGAATAAAACATATCTGTTCCAGAATATTAGTTGAAAAAAATGTCATGCGAGATATTAGATAAGTATATCACACATGAAAATTTACACCCCCTACTATGATTCTTCCGATTTTGATAGTTTAAAACTGTCAAATTGTCTTCGGTTTCTTTTTTTCTCACAGTCTGCTTTTCACGAAGTTCATACGCCTCATCCACTATATATCACAATCAAGTTATGATTGATACCACTTCACGATATGTGTATGTATAATAAAATTAAAATCACCTTTTTTTGTTTTAATGAAAATCAATCTATATCGGAATACACTATATCGCTTTTGACTATTTTTATATTTTTTTTTGAAATTGATTTGAAACAATATATTAGAAGAATGATACCTGAGAATACGGAAGAGAAATGTCTATTGTTTTCAAAAATCAATATAGTAACGGATGAAGAAGTTTTTTTTCTTATTTAATTGATGAAAAATTGTTTTTTGATGAATATAATGAAAAATTAGAAAGACTATTTTATTAAACGATACCTTAAATATCGTTCGATATCACAATGACGCATATCGAAAACAAAAGAAAAAATAAAATCTCGAATCAGATTTCTAGACTATCTTTTTGTCTATTAAAACAATTTTGTTTAACATATAATTTGATCGCATGGTTAGTTATGAACACAAAGAAATTTTGTAACATATTCAATCAATAGAAACAAAAAAACATTAATTAGATATTAATTGATGCGTAATCAACTAGAAGATATTGTATATTGTACAACTGAACAACAGTGCCAATATATCGAATAAATGAACAAAAATAATGACTGAAATTAGTGAATACTAGATGAATAAACAACGTTATAATTATCAAATCAAAAATACGGTAAGTTTTTACAGTTCTAATAACTATGAACTTCTCTCTCTTTCTCTTTCTCTCTGTATTAAAGTATTTTCGTCATATCTTTTTCTCTCTAAAAAGCAATTAACTCATAACAGGTGGCTCGACAATAGTGGGACATCGTTTGTTTTTCTATTTTTAAAGGCACTAAAATACAAACTGAAGGCACTGCTCTAGTGATAAAAAGATAGCAAGAGAAAACTGTTTTTATAATGGTGAATTTCATCAAAAGTTGAATTTCTCATATATATATATATATACAAGACGCATTCTCTCTTAACATTAGCTTTACCTTTTAAGCAAACTACCTGGAATCATATATTTTTTCATTATTAAATCTTAAATTAGATGATTAAACGTTATCATATAGTTCAGTATAAAAAAAACAGAGTAAAATTGAAAAAAATATCTCATTCATGCCATAAATAAGAAAGAAAGATTTTGAGTTTTTTGGCTCATCTGTGGCTACATGGAAGGTGATATATCTATATCTATATATATATATATATATCAGCACAAGTCAAATCAAAAACAGAAACGAAATGAAACAAAAAATAAATGTTATTTATATCAAATTGGGATGAGAAGAAGGAAGCTGTGTCTCTCACTCAAACAGTTATATTAACAAAAGAATGTATTTACATTTGTATTTTATAGTAAAGCTCATTCAAACAAGTGGACAAATAAATAGAGATACGACAACGAAGTAGAGACATAAAAAAAAAATGATTCTCTCGAACGAAAAACAAAAAAAAGAGAATTGTTCATTAGATCAAATAATACAGACGAAAAAACATTGAAAAATCCCTATTTAACAAAAAAACAATTTTAGCTTTTGACTTTTCTACTAAACTCCGAAATCAATGTCAATATATTTGTTTTTTTTACAAGATTGTAAATAACTAACTAAAAAAAATTTACCATCTCCATACAATTATAATTAAAAACATAGATTAAATTAATAATATCAACATTTCTAGAGGTGTGACATTTTTTAAAAACTCACTTATAGAACTCAAGAAAAATAATAAACGATAGAAATAGGAAAATTTCCAGGCATATTATTTTTCTATCCTAAGAGCAAAGGAATGAATACTATAGTCAACATGCCAGTTATTGTATTTTCTGACATTAACATTCTAATGATTTAAAAAATATATTCGAATTTTCTTATTATAAATAAGTCAGTAGTGAACAAGTAAAAACATACCATGCTCAACAAAAAAAAAAGAAGAAAATTGTTAACCTCAAAAGCCTTATTTATTCTCGTTATCACATTACAAAAGGACATTTATTGTATATAATTCTTTTACCTCACACACACACACACACACACACACAATATATATTTTCTAAAATACGGTTGTTTATGGAAGACATGCTACAGCGATAAAGACAGAAATAATGTAGATGACGACAATGGTAATTAATACTACTAAACAAGAATTTGACTGCGTCGTCGGCGCTTTTATCTAACATATGCTAGAGTAGTTCATGTACGATATATATATGTATAAACAGAATGTCATAGTGTTTTTTGGTCTTCTTCTAATAAATACGTTCTGTTCTCGTTTTCTATCGTAACTTTAATAGAATAGTTCTTATAACTACCAAAAAATCCTAAACCGTTTTGCTGCTATTCAATTCAAGGAGAAAAAACAAGTTACTGCATGTCAGACATCTATCTACTAATAGATATTTAATATACGTACGCGATTAGAAAAATGTTATACTTGTATCTGAACTAAATAAATTTTCCATGGTAACATAAATTCTTGTTTTTTAGAAAATATAAACTAATTTACGGCAAAAAAAGAATCAGACATTCAATGATGTGATATATATTAAGAGTAAATTTCTATCGATACTGATACATTTATTATTGTAATTAAATATTTTTTGCTCTCTTTTCAGTCAGCTAAGAATATATTTTTCTCTGTAAATTATTATTTATTTTTTGTCTCACATATATATATATTATATATGTACAACACAACAATAATGAAAAGAATAAAACATATAGAAAAAAATATTATAAGCAATAACAACTAGATCGAGAAGACAATGGTATAACATTGTTACAATAGATTCATTTGATATAATAAACATCTGTTAGAAAAAAAATATTTTTCTTAAGAATACAAGATAAGTCTCATGGTTTCATGATGCTGATATTATACTTTCACTTTTTTTTTCCTATACATACATACCTCGTTAGTTGACTACCGATCGACAGGCAGACATATATTGTTTTTTTTTTGCTCTTTAAAGTAATATTATTGACTTAGATAGATCGAAATGTGTGGTAATAATCTTTTGTTTTTTTTACTCGTTTTTTTTTTCCTTTTTGCAACAATCACTGTGCATCATTAAGTGAAGAAGAAGAAGAGAAAATAGCAAACTCTCATCAACATGATGATAAATCGTCTGTAGAGTAAATGATCCATTTGAAAGATCTATTTTTATAACGCTATATAAATCGGCTGTATTGTCTTTTTGTCGATGTATAGAAAGAAGAAATAGGAAGTTGCTTATGTATTAGTCAATATATAGATATATATACAGGTTGACGAAACTACAACAATAAAATAAATAGAGTATAGAGAATATAGACTAGAAGAGAAAATAACGTCTCAAAAGAAAAGAACAATTAATAAGAAAACAAAAAAAACGTGTACAAAATTTCTGGTATAACATAATACAGACACCGTTTCGAAGTCCATATCTCGTGTTATACTCTTACACTAGACCATAGAAAAAAAGTCTGAATAAAGTCGTTCCAATGGTGAAGATTGACAGACACAAAAGTACAGTTGCTAAAAAAAATGACAATATTTCTATAGATGATATAATTCTCACTCGATAAGTGGAGACTTATAATTTTGTATTTTTCACACCGATGAATATTGAACAAGTCTCAATTCCATAACAAAGCTTTATTAGTGTCGATATAAAGCTCTATTCAGAAATTCATAAAAGTCAACTGGTTTAGCAAAATCAAATATAAATATTTTTCATGTTCTAATAACAAATAAACCATAAAATACGATAAAGCAGAGATAGATACATAATAAGCAAATAATCAGCAGGTGAGAAATATAAAAACTAATAAATAAACGGAAGATCAAGATATCATGTATAAGCGCTTTATAGGCGCGAAAGTTAACATTTCTGTCAATCAGACACCTTTTTTCCGCTCTTTTCCGTTTTCATCACATAAACGCCGCACAACGAAAAGTATATGCCAATACCATTTAGAAAAGAAGCGAAGTTTAAGCTGACTTTCATCACGTTCAACTCATAATAATACCAAATAACGTATATTATATATGAATGAAACAAGCAAAAAAGGAGAAAAAGAGATGTGCTTTTTCACGAGCAATAGACTCAAGCGCCAAAGACAGAACTACATATATGCGCTAATAACGCAACTGACTTAATATTGTTTCAATCGAGGATCATCTATCATTTTTTATTTGTTCTAATACAGAACCAATCCATCTTTAACTATTTAATCGAACCGGTAGACACTGTTATGCTGTAAGTATAAAATAAAACATTGTTTCTTTGACGACTTCTGGCTACTTCCAGATTTTGTTAAAATAACACATCATAGCGTTACAACAGAAAGAACCTTTTATACGCTCTAAATTGAGCTAAATTTATTTTGAAGTAAAGGCTTTACTGTGTAGACCTTGTAAAAAGTTAAGCAAAATGAATTTAAAGTTTTTGTTGTCTGAGTGGAACAACTGGATTCAGTGCGACGGCAAAAGAGCGTTTTTGTACGAAAATGCTGAAATAAATAGAATTTGTACTGGTCGCCCAGCACTAAGAAATACTTTCTGAGATATTTGCTTTTGTTTAAGAAGTAATGATACATATACTACATGAATATTATTTGCATTTTCTAAAATTTTCTCTGTTATCGTTGTTTCCGCGAAGTACAATGTCTTATTATATATCAGAAAAGTAAAGAAGTTTTATCCGATGATACATGAATATTTTTCTTTCCCTAGATAAAGAAGATAAGGGCAAAATATAAGTTTCTAACAAAGTCTGATCTAAGTGAACCATTCAGCATTACACAAAACGATGAAGAAGTGTTTAATTCATAGTAGCGGCACGATAGAGGAAAATATTGCTTGCTATAGCAAGACTGTGAAAAAGAATAATATCTCTTATTTTTTTCTTGTCAATCTCCTACCTAATAGTAGTGTGAATTGATATTGTCCGCGTCGGGAAGGAAAGGTCTCAGAATCATGTGATAATGTTTTTCGAAAAGCAGTTACGTGTTTTCGTTATAGTAATGTCAACCTAAAAGAATTGGAATGTTTTAGTGATTTTCAAAATGTGAGAAAATGTTTTTCAAAATATCCTAAATTATACGCCAATAATAAAGAGAATAATAATAAATAAAGAGAATAATGCTAATAATAATAATAATAATAATATTAGTAATAAACATTCTAAAAATGAAGAACAAGATGATACATCGGCAACAACGACCACAGGGCATGCACTAAGTGCTAAATAGAACAAGCTTCTTGTTGCCACATTTTCCTTGCCGTTTGTTAAATAACTTTCCTATTCGTTTTGCTGTCTTTTTCAAAAAAAATCTTATATTTGTCTTTCTTTTTTATCATTGTGAGAAAAATATTCCCAAGATGGTGTTCGCGAAGTTTTCAGACAGTATTCTTTTAAGAATGTCTTCTGTCAAATTAGTGAAGAGATCATTCTAAAAACAAAGAATTCTAAGCTATGAAGATTTAATTTCACTAAAGAAGGCATGAAGGGAAAGGCTAAGGATCATTAGATCGCTGTACTATAAAAGCTTACGCTTGGAAAAAATAAGCACTTCTTTTTCTGCGTTTCTGATTATTAGAATCGCAACGTTAAGTTCCTCCCAATCATCACAAACATTTCTTTGGCTTGTTTCAGATATTCGGCTAGTCTGATGGATGATTATGAAATAATTGAACATGAACAAAATAGAAGATCAAGTATCTGTAAGGTATTATCCAGTGGAAGACAAGTTATTCGTGATGCAAACTCGAATACTAGCGACCGAATACTAAAGAGTGGAAGACGATTAGTTGGATCGACATCAAACACCAGTAGTCCACAACCGTCAGCAGTAGCCCCCAAAATAAATGTTATTATACAACCAGAACGTTCAAATAAAAAACAACGAACACTCTATTCTCAAATAGGCGCTATATTGCATCAAAACGAAATAGAAGATGTCAATCAACCACAACAGCATACTGAAGAAGAATATGATCCTACAAATCCATTAATACACAGTACAATTCATGTGGCTGAACGTAAAAAATTGCATATGCCTAATCAACCATCGAAAAAACTTTTATTAAAAGCTGTTACTGATGCCAATAAATCTGTATTAATGAAAATGAATAAGAAGACCGGCACAGTCAAAGTTGTAAAGCCAGATGGCACAACTGAACGTCTAGCAGCAAAATTATTAGCAAGAAGATTAGGAAATACCGAAGGGACATGGATTAATCCGGTCAGTATCATAAAAAACGTTGTTCAGACAAACAACGATAACAACAACAATCATAAATCGTTAGCAATTATTCCAACAGCGGTGGTCACTCCCACTACATCATCTAAAATGAAAATAAGAGTATTAAATGAATATTGTCGAACAAACGATAGCAACTCAAATGCGAGTAGTACAAATGGTAACGAAAATAGTAATAGCAATTTATCTATATCAAGTAATCAAACAAGTGAAATAAATGGCAGTGAGCCTGCTAAACAAATAGTTTCATTTGAAGACAATGACGAAGATGATGAAGAAGATTTTATTGTTGTTGTCAATTCAGATACAATGGGTGAATATGATTTATCATCATTATATGAGAATGAATCATGGATGTTACAAGATTACAATGAACAATCTCAACAAGATGATAATGGTTATTACAATAACAGCAATATTAATGAACAACAACAACTGTCCAACACTTCAAATAATCTATTAGTTATTGATGATTATAATACTCGTACATCGTCACAAACAGTGTCCACTACAACAGCATTAAAACGCAAACTCAGTCAGGATATATATGATGATAACGGTGAACAACAACAATCGCAAAACTCTCCACAACAACCATTTTCCACATCAACATCAGCGGTTTCACGTAAAATAAAACGTTGTCGGTTTTGGCCCGATTGTCACAATGGAACAAATTGTGAATATCTTCATCCGACTCAACGTTGCACGTAAGTGAAAATTTACAGAAATTAGTCTCTCAGTGGGGATGAAATACTTTTGGCAGTACTAAATAGTAACCTTTCTGTAATGATGTTTGCATTTTACTGAAAAAAATGATACATCTCACGAAACATTCCGACAGGAAGGTTTATACGTGTTAGTAATCCATAATTTATGAACGCTATAACCATACAATATTGAAAATTGTTAGCTATGCATGCATCTTGAGTTACAGGCGGATCCAAACCTTTAATCAGTACTGTATATATATATCAATGAATGGTATCAACTTTTTCTTAGTATAATACATAATTCACTGGTTTTTTTAGACATTTTCCAAATTGTGCATATGGAAATGATTGTTTGTATATACACCCTCTTTGCAAATTTGGTGCAAATTGCTCTAGAAATGATTGTTCTTATTCTCATATAATGACAAATACATCTCCAGTAACTGCTGCATTAACTAATTCATCTGCGCTATTATCGCCAACGACTACATCACCATCACAGACACCAATGACAAATCGTACGTCATCAAATACTAATTTAAATTCAAATTGTATGTAGATATATGAAAAATTTCTTTCTTATTTCTAAACAAAAATTTCTCTTTTAGTTGTTACTCCAATTGTTCAATTTACTCGCCGAGAAAATTCAATAGTAAGTTTTTTTGCTCTTTATCTTTCCAAGAAATTCAATATTCAATTATTTCAGGTGTGTAAATTTGGAATAAATTGCACGAGACCAGCTTGTCCATTTTCTCATGCACAAAATCGACGAATGGGTACTATGAAATGGATAAATAACAAATGGTAGGTTATGAATTTTGTATCATCTAAAATTTTATGAATTTTTTTTTCTTTTTCATATTTAGGGAGTCACCAAACTCTACTTCTACCATTGCATCAAAAAAAATTTTCACAAATCCATTTATTACTATTAATTCATCAGTGTCATCACTAAAAACAACATCATTAGTTAATCACAAATCAATTAAAAACGACTTGCTCATTGAAAATTCAAACAGTATAAACATTGACTATAATAGTAATATAACAAATTCAACAACATCAAATAGTAACAATTCTAAATTATCATTTAATAACGATGAAACGTCAAATGAACAGTTAAATGAATTAGTTTTGAGTTCTTCTTAGAAAATCTTAGCTGTCTAGTCAAATCTCATGATTTTTTTCTCATGAGAAAATCTGAAGCACGACGAACATCTCTTCAAGATGAAATATTTTTTGAGCCATGATCCATAAATAAAGAATGCTTAGTGTTTTTGCTACTTTATCTGGACGAAATATAACAACATTATTATTTTTGAAAACATAGGCAACTATAATTATTTTGCTTTTGTTATATTAACTTTTATTAGTAAATACGTGTTGTTGTTGCTGTATTGATGTGTTCTTACATGGTTTTTCTTGTCCTTGTTATTTTTGTTCTCAATTATTTTAGGTTGATTTAATAGGTTTATTTTTACCTTTTTTGTCAGAAATTTTCCATCAATGTTTTTCATGAGAATTAAGTACTTTATTTAACTTACTTATTCTACGATAATTTTTACCTTGATGATTAAGATTTGTTTTGTTGTTTTTTGTACACATGATGTGGAACTTTAGATATATTTAAAAGAAAAATATGTACCGTATAAGGAGAGAAAAGGGTAATTTATTCTTCATTGAGTATAATGATACTAATATTATTTGAAACTAAAAAATGATAGAGAAAATGTTGAATTTATTTGATTCTCTGTTATTTTCAAAATAACAGTAAGAAAATATTTTTCTTACTAAATAAAAAAATGATATTTTTGCAGATTAAAATGCATTCACGTGCCTATCTTCTTATTAAACGTGATTTATTACTATTAGAAACATATCCAATAAAAGGCATTGAACTTGAAAAAATTGAAAATGATAATTGTTTTGATTTAACATTAAATATTTGTCCAAATCAACAGTCAATATGGTATGGTTGTATATTTCATGTTCAATTATTATTTAGTGATACATATAATGTTCAACCACCTTTAATTCAATTTGAATCAACTATTCCATATCATCCAAATATTGATCCAATTACCGGACGTGCAAAACTTTCGTGTATTGAAAAATGGAATCCACGTTATACTTTAAGATTATTATTAGATGAATTAATAAATATTTTTACAGAACCAAATGAACATACAATTATAAATTCTGATGCTATGCGAATGTTAAGACATCGTCCACAAGATTATTATTTAATTGTCGAAGATTGTATACAAAAAAGTCAATTATTTCAATCGACAAGTAAACAAAAAATAAGCAATACTCCAATACATTCAGTAACATCTGCAAAAGGTAAGAAAAGAACGATATATTATTAGATTTTCATTGAAGACAATGTGTTTTTAATCAATGATTTTATATTGACTTTAACTAATTAATTTATTGATGATTGATTATTTTTTCGTATTTAGATAACAGAAATTTAATAATAAAAAAGGGTCATCAGCGTTCTTACACAACAATGACAAGACATCATAATTATGTACCACAACAAAAAATATCATTTGAAGATTATTATAATACATGGAAAGGAATTGCTACTTCAAAATCAAAAGCAAATGATGAAAATCCTCTATTAGAACTATTAAGTTTACATCCAAAATTACAATCACAACATCTCGCTTTAAGACCAACAGAATTAGGTCGACAATTAGATGAACGAGCATTACAATTTGAACGTTTAAAATATGGAAATTTATCTGATGAAAAATCAAGAAAATTAACACAATTAAAATATAACAAACAATCATATTTAACACATGAATCATTGAGTCCTCTTAATCAGCGACCAACAACAAAAGAGGAACAAGATGAAGAACGTCATAATAACAATAATAATATGGATAATTTAAGAATCAAAAGTGGTTTCATGGAAAATGATGAAGTAGCAGAATTAATCGAATGGACACAAGATTTACCGGACGAAGTAACTGATTGATAATGTGATAAAGAGAGAGAGAATGATCGTATTCTGCTTTGTAATATATAGACTTTTTATTTATTTTTCTACAAAAATCTCATAACTCATTCCCAAAATTTATTTTCATTTTTTTTCTTTAAAGTGAGCTTCGATTTTAGGTTTTTTTTTAAAAACCCACCTCCGTACACAGTGTGTAATGATGTGGATATTATTTAGTCAAAAAGTGAAAGTCGTCTTTCTGTGATTAAAAGTTTAATATCTTGTCTATCCTTTCTCGTGAAAATAAATCTCTTGTCTCTTTTAGAATGATGGGAGAACTTGTGTCAGAAAACAAGTTAAGAACCAAGAGTGACTTTGGGTTTATTATTTTTTTGTTTGTTTTAAAAGAATCGTCGGTTTGAAAAAGATTTTAAGAATAAATAGCGACTGATCCAGCTATAGATTAACAGAAGAAACTTTTCGATTTTGACTTATCATTGCCAAGAAATTTCTTATTTTTTATATTAGGAAATTTTCCAAAACGTAAGTCTTTAGTGTGTGACACCGTTTTCCACACTTTAGTCTCAAACTTTACATGTCTATTCTTTTATTTATGCCATGTTCATGATATTAGCACAAATCTTCCTAAACTTAATCATCGATTGTTTTTAGACAGAAATATATTTTTCTCTACTAGAGAAAGCAGTTTTAAGCAACATAAATGTTGCTTACGATATTCGGAATCAGCTCGTCCAACTGTATCGAACACGAAACAGCAAGATTTGAATGAAAAAAATCTCAATCAGAATTTTTCATCTTGATCCTCCGTCTATACGAAAAACATTTATTTTTCGTTTATAAGATTTTGTGATGAATTTAGAATGAAAATGAGTTATGAAAAATGTTTTATTAGCAAAAAAATTGTTCAATCATAGCTAGGCAAGTCAGGTTTGGCTTGACTTGACTTGGTCGAAAAATGTTTTGGGTATGCTTTGACTTGAAATTAACTGATGATAGATATTATTTTCTAATGTTTAGCGCGTTTAAGACGCACCTATTTCTGAAAAATTTTGGCTATTCTCTTTAACACGTACAGACGCATCTCGTTTTCTACTCCAGATAAAAACGAGATAAAAAATCCGTCGAAGCGCGATTTCTATCTCGATCATGAAAAACGCGTCTGGACGCATGTCCAAACGCTTTTATATAGCCAAGCAGTTTGGAATGCATCTGAGCGCGTTTCCACATATACCAACCATCCTAGTTCGCTTGATTACAGTCAAAAGAAAGAATGCATCATATTATAATTAATTACAGTAGAGAGGACACTATTTGGGCGTCGTATCATTCTTTGGTGCGCTAAGACCCAATTGTCTGTTTTATAAAAGTTCCTTGTGCGTTCCAAACGCGTTCAGCCGCATTTCAGGATATAAAATTTCTTTCGAAAGTATTTTCTCTTTACGTGCGTCCGAACGAATTTATGATCAAATTTTCATTAGTAAACGTGTTCTAACGTACTGTACAATACTCACATTTTCTCTGATTGCGTTCAAATTCACATAAATACTATACTTAAGATATCTAAGTTAAAATTCAGAGTCTTTATCGTTTTTATTTAAGGCTTTATTAGAAATAAAAAATAATAATTTGTGTCATGTGCCTGTCTTTTCAGGCTACTTTTTGCCTATGCATTTTCTCACGATTCTTAGTGTCTGAAACAAAAAATTTTATGCCATTAAATATAGAACATATTGAAGTGTATTTTCCCCTCCTCGAATCCGGAAAAAATTGACTTTCGACTTTTGGCCAAATGTTCGCCTGAATGCACACTATGATATAGTACCGTTTTTTTGACATTTTTTACACTAAAATTCTATTATTATATCGCTGATATGATTCGTTCCAGTTCACATTGTGAAACAGTAAACGTTATATGTTAGCGAGAAAAATGAGTGATGGAAATCGTATGATTTATCATCCATTGTTATTATAATTACGACCATAGTTGGTTTGTGTTCGTTTAAACAAAGTACCAAATGTCACTGGGTGGGAAAAAAATGAACTTCGACGATTTGGTCTAAGACAAGTTGATTTTGAATACTTCCGTGAATCCTAGACATTTAGCTGAAATAGTTATGACGTTGAATTCAAAATTAATGAGATGGCGTTTAACACCTAAACTTGAAATTAAAATCATTAGAGGAATTAAAAAGTTTATTATTAGGTGTCGATACACTTAATTGCAATGGTATACCAAGTCTTACAGTATGAGTGAATTATTTATGTTAAAAAAATAAAAGAAATAAATTGACTATCGTTTTGTTTATTTAAGTCTATAGACCTAAATAAACATACCCATAAAACCATACCATAAAAATACCCTATAGGGAGGGGTATTTATTTAACTTAATATTTAATATTTGTTGATAATACTCGTGGAACCTACGCCAATCCTATATGACAAACATTTACATGTCAAGATTCGTATAAGGATAAATATAAATCTCATGTAACTATTGTCGATCATCTGAATATATCGTAAACTAATCAAATATTTTTTCTATTTTAGGTAACAATTACAGCTGTACCTGATTTCGTCTTTTATCTAATACTGAGACATGATGTCCGCACAATCGACATTCTTCGCTAAGCATGTGGACATCAGAACTTTTTGCTCATAAATTATTTTTTCATCAATAGTTATCATTACTTAGCCATTTCTAACGTTTTTCAAACAAAAATAAACGTTTTTAGAAAATATCACATTGTTTCGAATCGGTCTGGCTGGTGTACGAAAACGTTTTTGATAGATGTTTTTTGATCCAAAACTAAAGCATCTTGCGCCTTTAAAAGATCCTTCTCTTGTGTTTAGAGTAAAAGTAGCAATTAACTGCTATACTTGTTTGTCCATTTGTTCATATGCAGTTCGATTTGTCAATTTTACAAGTCCAGCTTCTAATTTCTCAGTCATATCTAGCGGATATATGAGCAAAATATTTCGGCTAAAAATGTTTTGTTTGGTAAGCAGGAGGATCATGGAGATCTCATCTAAACCGGTTTTGGAAAAGGTTGTTCTGCTGGTAGCAAATAGCTAAATGACTGAAACTTTGTTAGATGGTACCCTTGATACAGATGTATCCATATGTAAAACCAAGTTTTATCAAATATTTCTTTAGGTATAAAACCGGAAACCTGATTTTGAAGAAAACCTGTTGGAATCCAGGTGGATATGAAAAATTGCTGAGCCATTTATTCTGATCGCGCAGACAATTCTCTGGTAAATGAACCGTTCTCAAGCTCTGCACAATGTTTTCTCGCGCAGTTATGAATGGGTCCCCAAAGCCACAAAAAACACCGATAAACCGATAAAAAGAAATTCGGGGGAGTAAGACGAGAGCAGCCTATCTGTCAAAAGTTTTTTCCAGAAAAATAGGAACAAATTCTCATTTTATGTAGGCATACATTCAATAATGGCTTTGTAAGGAGTAACCTTCGATTTACCTCAATTTTCTTGTTTTCCGCCCAAAAGGGTATTTCGATAATTTTTTACATAAATAATTCACTCATACTGTAAGACTTGGTATACCATTGCAATTAAGTGTATCGACACC